TTGTATGCAATAGTAAGTCTAACAAAACCGATCTCACATCATAACTTATCTACGCTGTGAAGAAGTTTGTTGAGGTTTTCTGACTTTTTAGTATGCACCTCTATTACACATATGTGTTTTTCTTAGTGCACTGAAAAGCTATTAGTCACTCGGTGGTTTCTTATTTTCTAAATTTTTGTTTCAATAACTACGTAGACGAATTATAATCCACACTAAATAAACGTCAAGCAGTTGTAAATGACTTAAGAGGGAAACCTTTTAAAACTAGGTGAAAGATAGAGCGATTTCAAACAAGTAGAATTCTGTCTCAAGATTGCGTGATAGTGAGAAATGCAAGTGTAATCAGATGATTCATTGATCACTCCGACCGCATACGTTTGTCTGTTTTTTTGTTGGGAATCATGATTTATGAAATTACTCATTCTTAGTCTAGCCGGGTTAAATATTATGAAGTGAATATATTTGTGACTAGATCAGACTCATAAATCGTCATCGCGACTTCAGCTGGAGATCCACTGGAAGTCAGAAAGTGCTAACATCTGTGCTTTTGCAAGTTGGGCATCCGTTGATAGCAAACATAAACGACCCTGCAAATTTGTAAACCGATAACATTCAGGTACCACAGTAAACATTGTATTTTCAGATCACGAATTAGTAATCAGTAGTCCACATTTCAAATTTTATTCATTAACTGACATACCTTTGTCACGTACCACTGACGTCTGTAGTAACAGTTTCTTGTTTAATACTGAAGGTGTTGGATTGAAATACGTATAAAAATCATGAATATGGAGTATTAAACTATAAAGAGTCAGCTGTCCGTTGTATTTTCGATATCCACACTGATATAAAATCTATTTTTAAACTAACCAAACCTCAACAGCCAAAAATGTATTTTTACGTCAACTAATTTTTGATATAACTCAGAAGCCAATATGCACCATCTGAATTCGTCCTCTGATTTGTATCACTATATATCCATACTGTTCTATTTCAAGTAGTTTATCACCGACATTCCTTAACACGGTACAGTTTGTTTATAACAAAAAATAAAACAAATTTTTTTTGCAAGGACACTATAAATAAAGTTTTGTTATCTCTTAGAAACATTATATTGTGACAGATGACTTGAATTCGTAATAATTCTGTGCCAAGTTGGTCTTCATTAGATGGCAAATAGATTATATTAATGTTAATATTATTCACTTAGTTTATATTATTTAACTATTTTATTGCCTACTTTCATTTAATTAATTTATTTTTATTGATAATAAGTGATGAATACATTGTGACCTAATGTATACATTGAATATTCGAGATTTTAGAAATCGGTTATATAAACAATAGTGTACACCAATCATCCTATGAATTACTCTTAATAGTATTGTTATTGTTATTATGCGTTACACAATTCACCCTGTTTGAATAGTGATATAAAGATGGTCTGATCCAAATTTCAGTACCTGAATATATATATATATATATATATATATATATATATATATATATATATATATATATATATACGTTTGTACTGAACTGGGTAATAATTTTCAGTTATTTTCTCTAATATAACATATAAACATATGCACTTAGATATAAAAGTATAACAAACTTAAAAGGCTTGATTATCTCTCATTCGTTTTACGTGCTGGTTGATAAGTCTACCAAACTGTTAAACTAGTAATATATTAACTATAAATGAGTTCTTTCACTATCATCTGCGTTTTTGTTGTCAACATTGTTGTAAAAGGATTGGCCAGCAGTCTGCCTGAAGAATATGAAACTCAGGTGAAAAACTATCCAGATATTATACAATCTAAAGAAAAATGTCTGCCTCAACAAGGCAATTATGAATTTGCGAGTACACTCGTCTGTGATCCGGATGGCTTGTTATCTGTTGCACAAAGTGAGTAAATGTTTTGTGTTTGACTTGTCCTTTATCTGATCTATACTGTAAAATGTAATATTCAAGTGATTTTTTATCAACACTAACCGATAACCGTCTAATAAGTGTTTGCTTTAAAATTATGGTGTACATCTTTTTGAAGTTAATCGATGAGGTAAGCACTCGAATCCAAAGGGAAAACTGCTTAATAAATTCATAACAATTTGTAATGACAGTGTTATGCAAATTGTCTTAATGCAATTTTTTGTTAACGATTGGATAAGGGTGCTACTGGAAATTTATTTTTATAGCACTTATAACAGTATTTGTTATGTGCTTGGAGCTCAACTTGCTATCGACATTCTCCATAAGTTTCGCACATATTTAACGGAAATGTATTAAATGGAAAGCTTATGATTCATTTACCGTTATATGTCAAGGTTTCTTTAAGGCTCCTTGTTCCAGATAAGCTGATATGAGAGCCTACGTAAAAGAGCATCATCATGGAAATATTTGAAATATTTGTTTTGCTTCTGACAGCGTCGTGAACTCAATTTATTCACTCCTCTCTGTCTTCTTTGTTATCGAATTACTTCAAAACTTATTTAGGTAGTTTTCAAATATTTTTTGCTTAGACTTAAGCACCATATATTTCACTTCTGAAGTAAAGAAATTCTGAACGGAATACTTTAAAGCTATTATCATTACTGAACAGAAAGTACTTACCAGATCAATATGAACAAATAAATTTTCTTTCTTGTATAATTCTGACGTATTTCAGAACTCTTCTTAAGTTTCTACCACCATATATGTTCTTATTTTAAATATCAGAGACTCAGGAATTATGGTGCGAGCCAAAACCACGATCGGTATAAATTACAAAATTGGGGTGCCATTTACTAAATATCTGCAAGTTGTACTATTGTTTTATATGAAAATTCTGATAGCTTATTTTCACAGTTTTACTTACCAGTTAGATACTTTAATTTCAAGATTCCTTTCACCGAGATTGATCGTCCGAAAGTTTGTCACTTATACTGACCTGTGTAAAGTTTTACTGTTTTCGATAACAGCAAATTAACCATATTTCACATTTAATATGAATTATTTTTGAACTATTTAAAACATGACATTATTAATAATCTACAGAATTCACAGTTTATTTGAAATCAAACCTTGGTAATATTACTTATTTAGAATATGGGTTTCATCTACTTATTGAAAACATGAAATATACGAAAGTATTTTTAGAGTTAATTTAACAGAACTGTACATTAAACTAGTTAACACTGCTGACCTAACTTTTCACACAGTAGCTTATACAACATTTGGCTGAGTTGTTTGATAGTTGACTAAGAAGCACAAGCAAAAATTAATAGGATATATTTATAACTGTAAGGAATATTTTATGACGCTCGTAATGTAGAAATTTACAGATTTACCGCTTGTGATTTAGTTAACGATTTACTTACTTCTCATTATCTTAAAATGTAAGAAGCATGAAATCAATATTATGTTGCCTTTTCATCATTGCTATATATGGTCTACGAATTCGAATTTTTTATTTGACATTATCCCAAAAATACTGGTCGTAACTAGCATGACATCAACTCAAAGTACATTGGTAGTATAGTTTGAATGTGATCACCACTAACTGAGTCTTATACTTCACCTAGCTTAAATTCATCCGAGGGAAGAACTATCTCTTAGATTCTGCAGCTTTTCGGTTTATCTGTTAAAACTATTCTAAGCAGTCTGTCCAGTACACCTAAAATAATGAATCAATCAATAATCAATGACAAGACTGGTCTCGTTTGGACAACTTATGAAAAAAATTTTAAATCAACTTACCATGCTATTAAGACTGATTACTATGATTGCACTAAACAGCTATTAGCTAAAAACCATTCTATTGAAATTTTTGTCAACATGTAAAAGGATAAAACCTCCATCACAGTAGCATAAAAAAGCCCAAAATATGGACTAGTACTAAACAAAATGAAGTTTGATTAAATTTGTAACTCCAAGGAGCACTATTTTATTTAATATTGAAGGAAATGCTTAAATAATCCAATATAAATGAGGGTACAAACAAACTGGTAAATAAACAAATGAGTAAACATGAAGAACTATTCATACATGTAGTGAAGATTTTGTGGGTGCTTCAACTAGTAACGTATATAATATAATAATAATAATAGTATAATTCACTGATATTAACCTTGAAAGTAACAAATGGGATGGTTTATCTTTTTCTGTTCAATTTGCTGTAAATGGTATGGCTTATTGAGAAGGGTAGTTAAAATTGTAAGTTAACGTACTGGCCTACGGATATGAAAAATGATTTTTAAACAGAGGATGAAATGGGAAAGCTTCGTTCGACCCAACTTTCACTTCAATTAATGACGGTGAGTTATATTAATAAAACAATCAAACAATGTAAAGGTCAGTTTCTATTACTGGTGCTTGGAGAATTTTATTCACCAATCGATGACATATGAAAAAGAGTAAAATCTTTAGTAAATATATGAATATTAATCATCCTAAATAGTTGTGGACAATGGTTTTAGCAGTCGCATGTTTTCCTAGGCGAGTTACAGGTACGGCCTAAAACAAATTTATGCTGTGATTGTTCACATGTAGCTTCGTTAAACTACTATACTTGCTGAATGCAGTGAATTTTTCCACTTGAAAGACTTTTATAACTCCTGGTGATCATCTGCCTTTTTTAATATTTGGTGGTTATTCAGTTGAATGGTGTCATTAAAAAAGAATATTCGTTTATGTTGTATTCATACGCTTCAAATCATCATATCAAACATTAAGAAATAAGAACAAATGAATTTCTTTTAGCATAATTACTTTATTTTAAAGACTGTTAAGTATATTTATATAAGTATGGTAAACTAAATAATTTGTTATTTAGATGGCGGTGCGACAGATATCTAATTTCATCTATTCTAAACTGGTTTCATCTTCAGGTATTGATTTGTTGTAGGCTATCAATAAAGATTCTCTCTTATGATTCCCATGTATCCGTGGGTTTCAACCGAGCTCTTGCATTGATAGCCAACGATTTAAACGGGATACCGAGCTTATAATTGTCATTGAATAAAGCCACCCGTTTCAGTTGTTGTAACAGTCCAAAAGAAATCATATGTTGACAGAGTATGATCATGGAGAAAAACATAGCATGTTTGATAAAAATAATCTCGAAAAACCTACATGTTTTTTTCAGGCGTTTATTCTCTTTAAAGAGTTTTTATACCACCGAATCCATCAAAAACAAGAAATTGTTGGGAAGCTGCTTTTCCTCAGCAAAAAGCTATTAAGTAGTAATACATTCCATAATGACTGTAATAGAAAACAATTTATCTCATGTTTATTAATTTCGGATTTATGGATACAGTGTAATAGCTTTGCGGCAAACCTTTTGACTTATCAGTTCACTGAAGAATTTAAAGACATTTTGTAAAAATTGAAATGTTTGAAAAAAATCATCCTTTTAAACCTGGTTCCTATTGCCGTGCTGTATCAGAATTTATTTCAATGATTACAATCACGAATAATAAATAGTGATCCGGAAGTAAATATTGAATTAAAACATATGCGTACTTAAATTCAACTTAGTATTGTTTGTTTGAATCTTCCCATCGATTTGTTAGGACTGCAACTGGTCAGTCTCTAATTGGCATATGTGCATACTGTGCGTATTGCCTCGATATACCTTAATTCACAAGCATGGATAGCAGAGATTCAAACAAACAATACTAAGTTGAATTTAAACTTCACCCCATCGCACAAGCAAGTGGCTATCAGGACTCAGTGGCCGAGTGGATAACGCGATGGCGTTTGAAGCGAGGGTACTGGGTTCGAGTCCCAGAGTGAACATCAACTCTGAGATGCAGGTACATCCAGCTGACGAGTCCCAAATAGGACGAAACGCGCGCCCTGGATTCCACTGCTAGCCACTATCCATCTCTGCTAAATATGCGTACTTAGTTTGTCACTATGCCAATTTTCGATTTAGCTTGTGTTTTAACATAACAAATGACTTTAATATCCCTATTATTATCTGAAATAAAACACTAAATCTGTAGATAGTGAGCATCTAGAAAAATGTTATGGATAGTGAAATGTATTTGATGATAATATAATGAATTCTCTATACTCGGCGCCCAATTATCGTCAAACTATTCGTTCTAACCTTGACGAATATTCGTATAAATTATTTGATGATAGTTCTAATATTTCGATTTTTTGTTAGAAATTGAAGTTTAGTAACTCATCTATCGATTTCATCATGATTCAGTTGACATAGGGTAAATTAATGTCAGTAGTGATTATATTACTAACTATTCGATATATTTTTACTATAATGTAAGACAATTTTTTTTCTTTTGAGTTTTTCGGATGCAGTTATGATAAACTTTGAATGAATAAATAACAAGGAATGTTCGTGTAAATGATTTTCGTAGAAATTATTACCTTGAAATACAAAGTCACTGGGTTATTTATGAACATTAGAAATTTTTACTAAGTCAATAGAGCAAGTTACATTAGTAAACGTTACTATTTTCAGTTGTGAGTTAATGTCCGCCACAGACTGACTTCATTGGATTTTGAATCTTGGTGGATTCGTAGTGCTGATAAATCTGAAACCAAGACGAATAAGTGGTCGGTTTTCCTTTGACACTTAATGATTTACCAGCTGCAGTTGTTTCTTGACAAAAATGGAACAACTAATAAAAGCAATACTGTTTTCTAGTAGATCCTCATTGGGGTTTACTAGAATGAACAGTTAAAAGAAAATAAATATCTGAAAAGCAGTATACAAACCAGAGGAATTTTCAGGTTACCGATAATTATAATAATGCAGGAGGACACCAAACTATTCAGTATAAATGATAGATTGTTTTAAAACAATTTAATATTGTGACTTTAATCACTAACGTAACTTGTCCTTTTAAATAACGTAAGCGCTAGAGATCGAATTGAATTTTTCAAGTTCTCACTTTCTTCGTAAATTTAAATAGTTCATCATTCTTTCATGCTAACTTTGTTAATTTTTATCAATACTACTACCATTATTACTAATGATCATAGTAAGAATATTAATAATAACGCTAGTAGTAGTAGGAATGATAATAGTAATAATACCACAGTAAGTTATGTAGTTTACTGGATTAGTAACACTGGCTTGTTTACTACCTTGATTCATTTGCTATTTTGCATTTTCGTACATAAAGCCTGATTAAGGTCAAATTTAAGGTCATTTTCATCGCTTGTGTGGCTTGGTTTAATGTACTGACTTACTGTTCGTAATGAGAAATTCCGCTTCTGGTTGATAGACTTTTTAAACAAAAGTCATATTAGTCATACATACACATGCTATATAAGTGTTATTTGTATGAGACCTAGTGATGATTGGTTCAGTGAAGGATGTGGTTGAAAGTCATTCACTTCCGAACTAGCGAATGACTGACTTATGATTCCAGAGAACTATAAATCTAAATAATAAACTTTATCAAAAGAACAGAAATGCATCGAGTAAGAAAGCAGAATTACGTGATGAAAAGCGTTGTCTAGTTTCAAAAGATTTAGAAATCTATATGGTGAAGAGTTTGATACGCTGTCCCATCCGAGTGTAAATGTCAACGCCATGCATAATTTCATAGAAATAAAATAAGTTTTTTTATCAAACACCTAGATAATTCTTTATTTTCATGTTTGTTCTAATTATGTCACAATACCTTTTATTATTAAACACTCAAGGTTTACTCACAGTCTTAACAGACTTTACAGACATAAATGAACGCAAACTAGCTAGTCTATGGTTACAATGAGAGTGAATATATCACTAAACAATGAGATAAAGTAAGACCCATCACTGTAGTAATATGTAACCATCAAACAATATTGCCAATGATTCTGTTCGTTGTGCATTTGCTGTTTTAAGATTCAAAGTCGAATGCAAGCTTTTAACGTAGAACTTAATTTTAGTATATTAATTGTGGTAGAGATTTTGTGTTATATCAGCTGAAGGATAATAATCTTTGGGTATTTTTTTTATAAAACTCATTAAATTAAAATTAGTTATAATACATATAAAGTATCTGTTGAAATACAATTACTACTGAGTAAAGAATTGGAAATTATGATGACATAAATTTAGACAGACTACTGTTTTCATGAGACAATTCGTCACATAGATACATATCATATGACAGTATGTAACTTAAAAAACATTAAAACACATTTACATAATCACTTAACTTTAATAATCCGAGTAGTGATATTAGGTACTACTTCAATGATCTATATTCAGTCATCTAAACATTTAAATGTACATAAATATATATCAAGGATACTGCATTACCAGTAAGTTTAGACTGACTATATCACCGACTATATCACGAAAATGTTTATAAGTAGTTTTCGTAAGGAAGATGCAATACGATGTTTCGTCCATTTCATATGTTATCACTTACTTAGGCCTGTTACCCCTCATGAAGGAGTATAGGCCGCTCACCAGCATTCTTTATTCAACTCTGTCCTGCGCAGTCCTTTGCAGTTGTTTCCGCTTGCTGTTCATCATGCTTCCAATTCTCGGTGCAGCGTGTTCTTTGGCCTTCCCCTTTTCCGTTTCCCTTCAAGATCCCGAGCTGATGCTTTCCTCATGATGCAGGATAGTGATTTCCGTAATGTGTATCCCATCCACCTCCAGCATCTTTTCTTAATTTCCTATTCATTTGGTATCTGGTTTGTTCTCTCCCATAGTAGACTGTTGCTGATGGTATCCAGTCAACGGACCTTATCTTACACAAACAACCCTTAACAAATGCCATTACATTTTTGATGATGGTTGTAGTAGTTCTCCACGTTTCAGCTCCGTACAGTAGAACTGTCTTGATGTTCGTACTGAAGATTTTGACTTTGATATTGGTTGACAGTTGTTTTGAGTTCCATATATTGTTCAACTGTAGGAATGCTGTCCTTGCTTTGCCTATCCTTGCCTTCACGTCTGCATCAGATCCTCCTTGTTCATTGATGATGCTTCCGCGGTACGTGAACGTTTTCACCTCTTACAGAGTTTCTTCATCAAGTGTGATTAGGTTAGTGTTCTCCGTGTTGTACTTCAGGATGTTACTTTTTCCCTTATGAATAATGAATGTTTTATTAGACGGTAGCGATTTTTTGAATAATTTGCAGGATACCCGATAAATATGGAATCTGCCTTGTTGAAAGTAGGCTAGGACTATATTCTTAGGTTTCTCAGATGTTATGAGCAGCTATGAATGAATTTTAGATAGATAATACAAGCGAAACTTTATTAGGAAAACATTGTTTATAGAGTGAATTGAAGAAGGAAGCACAAAATATTGTTTTTTATTGACTTTATATCATCTCATAAAGTAAGTATTGCTTGCATAGACTTAAGTCACAGCTTTAAAAAATCTAATTTGAAATATATTCCAACTGACCGTATTCACATTTATTACCGCAATCTGATATCACCAGAGCAAACCGATTTAATATTAAAGAGAAAAATGTTGTGAGAACTGTAGATGATATTCGGTTCTAAAACTATTTGACGTATATTTCAAGGCAACAATATGAAATGTATGATACCATTCCTTCTTTTAATATGAATCTATATCCATTATGAACCACTTATTAATGGGAATTCCAAGATGAAATGATTTATGACTATAAAGGTGCATATTCCATCAATAATTCCGTACTTTGAAACAATGTAACCCCTTATAACACATTATGAATGCACCTTACATTTCATATTACTGACAACTCTTAAAAATTTTGGGTAAATATAAAAAAAAGATGAATTACATCTGCTTGATGAACTTGAACTTTTATTCCTTAAACGTTACCTCTCCGCTTACGTTGACTTGATTATGCCAAAAAATGCCATGGTTTCTGAGAGACTTTTCAGAATATATATTATTATTTGTCCTCAACAACGCGAAAAAACAAATGTGGTTGCCTAATTGGAAGTGAACAGATTTAATTCATTATCAGTTTTACCAACCTTTCACACAGTGTACTCCGGATCTCAATTACAGCTTAGTATTGAGCTAGTCTATTGGATGCAAGGTTAAATAACATGGAAAATGTTTGTGTTATTTGGAAATGTAGATCTAAGTAGGAAAAATACACCGGAGAATAAAGATTAGTGTGGTCGCTAAGGCCTTTTCTGAGTAAGTTTATTTTTCATACATAATAAACACTTCAGTTCTTCCCAGATTGCCTGCATTCTGGTTTATTTACTACATTTATCTATTCCATAGTAATCTATAACTTTACCATACCTGGTATTTGACTACATTTTTTCCGCGTTATTGATTAAATCTGAATTATGTTAAATTTTTAGGCTATATCGTTAAAATCATTAATGATTAATGTAGATGGCTGATACACAAAATGCCCACGTAAGGTATGTTAAATAAGCTAGGCAAAAAAATAGACAAGTAGTAACCTTAAATTTAACTACAACTTACCACTGATGACCATAGAGGTTAAGGTAAAATGAAAAATTGTAAAAATCGCAAAATACATCGTTTGGAAATTCGTTATCTGTTTTTAT